TTCAGAAGCTCCAAGGCCTTCGGCTGCCACAGGCTCTCCCTTCGCGCCCCGGCCTTCCAGCGCTTTCACTCGCTGGCTTCTCCTCCTCCTCCTCGCACTGAGCTGAGACGCGCTGAGCAGTTTGCTCTCCTTTTTCCACTTCATGCGCCGGTTCTGGAACCAGATCTTGATCTGCCGCTCGGTCAGGCACAGGGCGTGCGCGATCTCGATGCGCCGCCGCCGCGTCAGGTAGCGGTTGTAGTGGAACTCCTTCTCCAGCTCCAGGGTCTGGTAGCGCGTGTAGGTCTGGCGGCCGCGCCGGCCGCTGGGCCCAAAGGAGGAACCTGTTACGTAGAGAGGAGATGCTGAGGCCTGGGGTCACCGGGGCCAGGGCTCCCTTTCCCACTCGACCCTCACACAGGGGCTCCAGCCCGTCCCGGGACGCCCTTCCCTCTCCGGGTCCCTGCAGCGCCCCCTCCAGATGCCCTCCGGGCCTCCCGGGCCTGCGCCTCCCTAGCCTTTCCGTGGGGGGAGGGGAGGAGCGGAGCAAAACTCCCACCTGAGCCGCGGGGGAGGGGCTGCAGGAGCGGCGCCCAGGTGTGTCTGTTCCCAGCTGCATCTTTTCTTTGCAGGCAGCTAGCCCCCACCCCCGCCTCCGCCCCCGGTGATAGATTCCAGCCCTTAATCCGCAATGACGTGGATCGATCCGCAGCGGGCATTAACGGCTCCTCACTCTCTTGTCCCGCTAATGGACATCAATTTGGGACTTAAGGCCCTCAAATAATCCACCCTGAGACCCCGGCGCCTGCCTCTCCCACTCACCCCCTCCGTCTGCTCCCACACTTCCCTTCCCCTTCTTCTCCTCCTTCCTCTGACGACCGCCCCCTTCCTGGTGCCTCATCCTTCGCCAGCCCCCCACCCCCAGGGAAACAGTGCGGGACAGACTCCGCTCTCCCCAGCTAGCGTCACACCGCCCCCTTCCCGTGACGCACTCGGGTTTTAGTGGCACAGTCTTGGGGTGGGGGGCCGACCAGGACTTGGGGGCCCCGGGGAAAGCCAAGCCCGTGGCTGCGACCCCTGACCCGCAACCCCGGGTTGGCCTGGCCCCCTGGCTCGGCGGGCCCCCCTCGCTTCCCGGGCTCCGAGTGCGGCTGGGACTTGGCAAACTTTCTAACTCCTGAGGGTGAGAGGGCAGCGCAGGGGTCTCCCCTTCGATCCTAACCGAGGTGCCCAGCCGGCACCCAGTGAGAGAAGGGGGCGGGGAGCCCACTAGTTCTGTCTCCCGGGGTGGGTGCCCGCAGGGATCCCGCCGCGGCGGCGCCTCACTCACTGTTGCACGAGTTCATCCGCTGCATCCACGGGTAGACGGGCGTGGAGCACTTCTGCTCGTCGGGCTCGCCGAACACGCTCTTGTCCTGCGCGCAGTCGGACTTGCGCGGCTCGGGGTGGAAGGGGGGCGGCTCGTCGGCCCCGGAGAGCGCGCAGGCCGACTCCTTCTCGCGGTAGAAGGCGGGCGCCGGGCCGTAGTCGCAGGGCGCCGCTCGGCCGTAGCCGCCGCCCGCCGGCGGGTAGTAGGAGGAGGCGGCGAAGCCCTTGTCCTGGCCGGGCGCGGGCCCGTAGGGCGCGGGGTAGTGCCGCAGCGGGTCCGCATAGCCGGAGGAGTAGAGCGGGAGCTGGCCCAGGAAGGACTCCTGCCCGCTGGCCAGAGTGACGGGGAAGGTGGAGTTCACGAAATAGGAACTCATTGGGAGGGAGGCGCGCGGCCGCTGCTGCTCCGCCGGGCTTATGATTTGTTGTGTTTTATAGTCCGAGCGCCGCGCCTATTAGTAGTATATCTGAGATTGGGTTTTCGCTGAGGGGGGATGGCGAGGTGCCAGTGAGGGCCAGAAGGAAATACAAGCATCTGATCCAGCACTGACCAATGGCAGAGGCAGGAATTGTCAAATAGCACCCAGGAGGAGCGCAGCCCGCGCGAGGGACCCGCGCACAAACCTATCAACCTTTTTTTCCCCTCCTTCTTCTCCTTCTCCTTTCTCTCTCTCTCCCCCAACAACACTACGCGTTCTGTTCCCTCTACGTAGGATCTGCGAGAGAGACGTCTGTGCGGGAGGAGGGAGCTTTGGTGGAGACCACCGCATCCCCCAGTGATTAAATAAATCTCCCCCTCCCTCCCCACTCAGGATAGGAAAAAGTTAATTGTGTTTTCAGGAAAGTTAACCCCTGCGTGGCTTGAGCCCCATTCCCCCCAAGGGAAGGGTGGGCAGCCATCCCTGAATCTCACATCTCAGCCTAGCCAGGAGAGAACCAAAGGCGGTTTATTTCTAGGGGTTTGTGTTGGTCGAAGGGGAGAAGAGTTCAGTTCGCCGCTAACTAGCATCCTTTC